GATTCACCGGAGAAGAAGCCGCTCAGGAGTATGGTGAATGCAGTGCATCGAAAGTTTGCTATTACGTTTCCTCTCCGCTTGTTTGTCAAGCTTTCGCGCCACAGTTGAAAAGGTGCGGTGTGCAAGCTTCATCAAAACACTTGAAAGCACTGGCATCCGCAGTAAGTCTTGGAGCACTCGCACGACGAGTATACGCACGCTCGAAGGCAGGTAATCCACTGGCTTATGCACGAAACACAACACATCACGGCACTGGTGAGCGCTCCGCTTGACACCACGCCCGCCTGTGCCGGCGCCATAACCGTTGTCGAACCATTACAGACAGCTTCGTAGTGAATGTGCACCGTCACTGTTGAAATAACGCGGTGGTGGCAGCCAAATTGATTGATAAACAGTGTCAAAGTGATACGGGCTCCGCCATGGACGCGAAGTTGGCGCAGAAACTTCACTCGAGGGATGATTCAAGGTAGCTCGATCGCTTCCTTGACAATCTCGAGGAAACGCTCCAGATTTTCTCAAGTGAAGGAAGCGTTTCAAGTGAAGGGCGGTTTGTGAATGGTAAAATGCCACTCAAGGAGCATTCCGAGTGAAGTGTCGAGTCGAGGAGCGTTTGTGAAGACGGGCGTATATCCCTTCTACAAGACATAAGCTACCCTATCGACTGCAGCGGAAGATATCCCCGATGGCAGCAGAACTTTATCGTATCAAAGAAGCTGTCCTTCGCATCTTGCGCCAAACGCCTGGCCGGTGGGTAATTTTCACCGACTCCAACAGATAGCATTCAAGGTCCTAATGAAAGAATCCTGAACCCGTTTCATTCGACATCGCATACCTATATCACCTGGCTATTACCGCTAGAAAATATATCACATTTCTGTGTATACCAGGTCATTGTGGCATTATGGCCCACTATAAAGCTGATGAAGCAGCACGCAAAGGTCTTCGACACCACAATTACGGACAAACATCATTCGCGAAATCAGATGCTTCTCAGATGGCTAAAAGGCTTGCGTTCGAAGAAAATAAGATGCACTACAATTTTTTGAAAAATCATTATGTCTTCCTTCACTCAACCGACCCCTCCTTCAGAACAAGACGCTCATTCGTAATTCCTCGGCATCTGTAAACGTTAAACCATGGTCTTCATCTAAACAGTGCCTATGTAAACAGCTTACGGTACCGGTTCGGTCTGTCAGCAAGTCCGTACAGCAACAAATGCGGCACCATCGAAACTGTGGAACATATCTTGTTTGAGTGTAAAGCGTATGAATATGCATGTGCTTAATAAGCATTTCATGCATTCGATAACCGATAGAACTTTCTTTTATGACTGTGTATGAGGACCTTTGTCAGGCTCCACGCTACAGAGGCATGCTATGAAACTTTTGATCGCGTACTAGGACAGCATCGGTCAGCTAGGCAAGCTCTAGCTGTAGCTTGACGTCACAGAAAAACTATTAACGCGAGTCCTTATTCCATAGTCAAAGATGTGGCCTCTTTTCTTTATTTTTATTCTATCTTCAATCTTAAAATTTCTCTTTTTTTCTCCCTTCGTATGCTTGCCTTCAATCCCCGATCCCCTCCCCCACGCAGAGCAGCAAGTCAGAGATTTATATATGCCGGCTAAATTCTCTACTTTTCAATAAAATTTTCTTCCCCTCCCTCTCTGCTTATTTACTGCTCTGGGCCCACAATTGAATCATATCTCGCATGTATTGTGCGTTAAGCGTTTGGTGAGCAGGCGTGCTGAGTAAGCTCCTTTGACATGTTTATTCTTATCGGTTAGATACCATATTACATCTGCATGAAGTCAAGCATAGATTTGCTGTATTTAGAGAGCGAGGCCGCTCACCTTTTCGCCTTAACATGCCAGCTGGCTCTGTAGGCTGGTTTAGGTCGGGTTTTTTTTGTGCACCGTAAAAACCTGGGTCACCTTACGCGTTTCCGTTTCGAGATGACAGTTGCACACGATGCTGAATGCCGGGAGCTACGCGAGTACCACAAAGTGGATAGTTAGAGCATGCATCCTTCTGCCGGGTAGCCTAGCTACGGCTGCTAACCCACCTTACACACTTTGGTTGAGCGCGGTTCGGTTTTGGCTGTTTTACTTCTGGAACACTTTAAACAACTTGTTGCAAATAACAGGTATTTCCTTCGGAAGCTCGTGCTTCCGAAGGGCAACTTGTTTTAAAGAACAAGTTGTCGCAAAGACGGCCGCTATTCATTCTTATGCTTTGGTATGGTGTTAATTAGGTCATTTCATTGCATTGTGCAAAGTTCACTCTCACTTTTTGTTGCATTTCATTGAGCGGAATTTCGTTTACACAGGTATGACGTTGTCACATTGTTGTTTTTAGAATATAAACAGTGAAGAAGCTCGCAAAGGCAAGCCAGCGAGGGCAGACGACAGAGCGGCTGATCGCTGGAAGAAGAAAAAGAAAAAAGCTCGTGCTTCCGAAGGGCAAAAGAGCACTTGGGCAGGTGAGGCTGTACTGTTTCTTCGTGTTTTTTTTTTGTTATCATTTTTCCAAATTCTCCGGTAACACGTTTTGTAGCGAATCCGCCGTGCGGGGTTGCACCGTTCTTCCAGGAAACAACAACAATAGTTTTTAGAACCCGGCCAGAACGGGCCGGAGGGCTATCGAACCCGCAAATACCCACGTGGCTTACGAGTCTTGCCTTTCTACCGACAGTGGAGGGTATAACGTCTACCAAGCCATGGGTCTATCATTCGGTCCATGACGCCTGCTTACCTTCCGTCACCACTCCGCCAGACATCTACCTGAAGACGACTACGTCATCGCCGGGAATCTACCAGCCCACTGCTTTCCCGACTCCAGCCCCACCACGTGACAAGATTAGAAGATAGTTGTACATTCTACCTTTATGCATTGTGTGTGTGTGTGTCTGTGCGTGTGCAGTCAAATATAATTTTCGTGGGCATTTTAACATCATCCACTGTCTCCTCTATTTTCAACACGTCACACGGTCTGTGGCGTGATGATGCTGACAACATAACATTACACTATCTGTAGTTACCTGCCCTTTTTTGCCCTTATTTTTATGGCTATAGTTTTCACTCAAATTCTCCGTGAATACGGTGTGCTCGGTGCGCATGCTATGCCTTGTTTATTCAATATCGCCATAGTTGTTGTTGAAACCTAATAATACGACACAGTACTAGCGAAATAAAAGACAAGAAACACAAATCCCACGTTTCATCTTTTCATCTTTCTCTTATTTCGCGAGTATCATGTTATATTATCCACGATTCCTACTAGCCCAACTTTCCACCCAAACTGTTGGGACCTCTGACATACCTACTCTAGAGGACCGGCCAAGAATTGATCATATGAATTTGTTGGACATTTTGAGTTATAAATACTGATAACAAAAATAACATACGTAAAACGAACGGGTGCAGCAATTATTATTCACCTATTCATATCAGGACTATAGTCGTTATCCTAAATAGAAGTTAAAGCAATCGAAACAAAATAAACACTTATGTAGCTTTCTCTTTAAATAAATCAATACTGCAGTAATAATACTGACACAAGTAGGAACTTAAAGTTGCATTTGTTTAGTCCCCTGAAGGTAACTACAGATGTCATCAAAAGCATTTATGTTGCCGAAGCGCCGGCGGAAAGTATGTTTTCACTTGTGAAGGTTAGCCTCTGGTTAGTGTATGGAATAATAAGGAGTCGTTTTCTTAGTACTCGGTATCAACGACATGAAAAAAATAGTGTTCTGTTATTGTCAATTTTGAGTAAAAAAGTATCGATATCGCCAGACCAGTCCTGTGTCAACATAAGCTCACCGGGGGCACCTTACATTGCAATTTATTAAATGCGACTTCCAACTGTCTAGTATGACACTGCTCAACTTTCAACGGAAATTTTCCATGTATTAATTGTGGCCACAATATATTTGATTCCAGGAGTCTGCAATAAGAAAAAATTTTCTTTGTCTTATTGCAGTTATACAGGTAACAACAAGAAGGAGAGCAGACATTAGGCTATTCAATGCCACTCATGCTAGTAAGTCAGCCATTTCATTTGTACCTAAAGAATTGTAAAGTTTCTTTTTTCTCGTCATTGCGTGCATTTTGAAGTAGAAGCCTGACCAACTTTAAAATAGTATCTCCGGCTAGATTTTATCACAGTACTCGGTCTGTTTTAGAGACGTCACCTTTTACTGACCATGTTTTAGTGAATAGAAAACCCTGCGCCATATTCTTGCCTTCTAGGCAGCTGCATTTAAATAAGGACGTGGCCATTGTTCGGTATTTGCGTTTTGGAGTACTCAAGTTTAACTATAGGAATTATTTAGACAACAGCACTCACCTGTACAAAGCATCAAGTGCTTATTTAAGTGCCTGACATTTACTGTCACCCACGTTTATTCAATTATATACCACGGAAATTAAAATGGCTCTTTGTAATCACATAACGGACGACTATTAAACCAGGGTATGCAAAAATATTTCCCAAATCGGCAAACGCTGTATGCTTGATTTCATGGATGATCAAGGTACACTTTTAGGCCTTGTGTCTGTCGCGCTGTTCCTCACAATAGGGAGTTTTAGAATACCGTTTGCAAGCGCTGCGGGCGTAGCGGGCGCCATATGAGTTTTAAAACAGCGTTTGCCCTGCTGCGATCCGCAACGCACGATCGCAGCGACACCGTAGCCTCGAAACCAGTGCTCGCGGACCACATGCGGACCGCCATCACCACCCGTAGCCTCGAAACCAGCGCTTGCGGGCCACATGCGGGCCGCCGTTACCGCACACAACTTTGGATTTTTTGCGTGCGGTCCGCGAACGCGAACGCCAACTCGCGTTACGACGCATGCGCAGTGGCAGCGACCGCACCGCAAGGGCTCGCCGTGCGCTATTCTAAAACTGCCTAATTTGTCTTACAGACGCTTCTAAGATAGCTGTAACTTTTACAAAACAGTAACACACGAATGATTCGCGCTCTTTCAAAGGTTGTAGCACCTGGAGCAAAAATTGAAGCTTTGCGAGTGCGGCGGCTGGTTGCTGGTCAGCCTCCAGCAGCGCCTGGTTGTGCAGCGTCACTGCGTCCAGTTCGTGTTCGGCGCGCGGAGGCATGTCCGTGAGTGCCTCGCGCGCCGCTGCCGGATTGGCCAGTCGCAGCTCGATGGCTGCCTTCAGGTTGAACGCTTCAACCAACGCCGATAAATGCAGCGCTGGTGTGTTGCCCACGCTGTGCACCTGCAAAAACGCCGCGTCTTTCCTTTTGGTAACTTTTGTACTTTGGCGGCACAGTAATGGCACCTTTATATTGCTAAATATGTTTTTTTTATTTGGCGGTTCTACATCCCAAAATCATGATTATTATGGTAGACACCATAGCCAACGAAGCCGGAAATTTCAACCACCTTTAGCCTCTATGCCGACGGGCTTCTGACATTTCGCCATTACTGAAGAGCGTGGACGGGATTCAATTCCGATAACATCGGTCAGCAGACGAGCATCATAACCGTCATAAATCGGCACCACGTGAATGATGGGGTCATAAAAAAGACGACGTTCAGTGCCCTCGAAGAGCAAACATGCCTAGTTGGCAGGATGCTTCCTTCATCACCATGAATTCAAAGTTCCGTCACGTCTTAATTGAGAATCTTTTATCGCTGCCATATGCAAGAACATCAGTACACGCTGTGCAAAAACATCAGTTTCTGTTTGTATAATCAGCGTACAAAAAAAATATATACAAAAGCTTATATTGATGAACATGGATCCTTGCGGAAAATTATTTCCTATTAAGGTGTTGTTTTCGATGATCCACATCTTTCAGGTTTGAAGCTAACCTTTTTTAACTCGCATGAGATGGCACACCGCGCCATTCATGCGCGCGCTTGCTGAAACTACGTGCCCGATTAGCTCACTTCTTTCGTACGATGGACCCAACGCACGCAGTACTCACTATTGAGTATCGTTCGGAGCCAAAGCTACGAATAAATGCGTAGCTTTGTTCGGCGTATCACCATTTTCTCTTTGAAGTTTACCCTTTACAAACATTCCCGAAGGCTTGCACGATTTTACAGAACCAGTGTGCCATAGCGCCCATTGTCACCTTCAGAATGACACGTTCGCTTTCTTGCGAGTGCTAGCTCCCATCTTGCCTTGCGTATAAGGTATTTCGGTGGACATCACTTTGTATGCAGGATTGAGAACGTTTTAAATTGTGAAATGTGAATTGGTCTTTTATTCGCGGCGAGATCGTGCTGTAGGTGGCATTACCATCGCCTCGTTATTGTGCATAGGCGGTCGGTGGCGCGTGTATACAAACGTGCGCAAGGGCACTTCGCTGTTGGTGGTTTAAGTCGTTTGGCGGCAAATAAAGCGCGTTGCATGAGACCTTAGGGTTATATACACGACCTTCAGGAGGCCGAGCTAAAGTTGCGCTTGTGCCCTAGAGAAGCGCAATCGGCCATTCAACGTGGCGCCTGCCTACAGTCACAGTCGTGTTTTGCGTGGTTCTCGGAGTTTTCTTCTTGGTCTCCTTGCAACCCACCACCACTGGTGTAGTTGTTATGTCGCTCGACTGCAGAACCGCTGGACGAGGGATCAAATCCTGGCCGCAGCAGCCACATTTTCAAAAGAGTTTAAAACGCTGCAGGTGCACGTCAAAGAACCCCCCGTCATAGAGTTTGTAAGAAGAATAATTAGAGGGAAGTGGGCACCACCGTTTATGCTAGTTTCTTAAGGGGCACGTTGGAACGCTGGGAATGACAATGTGTGTCTGCGAAGCTTGTGTTGGCTGATATTGAGCGAGGCTACGGCTCAAAATCGAATAGGACTGCGTGAATAAAGCTTCTTTGAAGGGAAACGTTCATAAGCGGATCTCATTCATGCGTAATATTTTCTGAAAAACAAAAAAGTCCACTTACCATGACGGCACAACCAAACGGCGAAAGAAAGAAACAGACGACATAAAAGTGGCGGAGGGAACGCTGGCTTTGTCGTCTGCCTGTGATGTTTAGCTGCCATTGGTGAATTCTTCCGCTTAGTGAAATTGTACATCGATGCAGAAGGTTCCAGTGTTAAATAGATCACGTTTCTGTACAATGAAAAAAAAAAGATTACGTGCTTTTTTAGTAAGAAATAAATCATTTTAACGTGACGCCAGACGCGTTTTCGGGGTATATGAATTCGAGTCAAATTTGAAGCTCACAAATCTCGTCATTCCCTTGCATCCAGCAGCTCACTAGTGCCAGATTTTTCTCTAAGTAAGTTTTTCTGCGCCACAGGTGGTCAAAATTTCCGGAATTCTTCACTATGGCACCCCTCGTAAACAAATGTTAGTTTTGAAAGGTTAACACTGAATAGTTAATATTACCGTAATGGTATGTGTTTCACCTGCGTTCTGCATGCAAAACCAAATAAATTATGTTACCTACTGACGATTTTAGGTATTTACTTCTTGATCTAGCATCTGCAGAAAAAAAATGAAGTGTGCATTTCTGCTAATTTAGATTAGCTTTGTGTATTCCGTCTTTAGATTTGTATAAGTACGTAAGCCACTATAGATATGCATTGTGTGGGTTCTTCTATATCGCGAAACGGCCATTACAGACGCTCGTTCATACTTTGATGCATCACAAGGTGTCTGAAACCACCATAGTATTATCTGAATTTGTCGTTGAAGCATATTACCTAGTGCACGTTTCGTAGTTCTAAACGAAATAAGTACTAAAAACTATGTGTGAATATAGAACTCAGACGATTAAGTGGCAACCACAGTAGAATGATTTCAGGGTATACGATTATTACACTGAACGCCACACCGACACGTGCGCACACTCACTATTGCAGTGCAGAAAAACTTCTGTAGGCAAAACGCTTGTGTGTAGTCTATAAGCATACCAACGAGTAATTGACAGTCTGCTAACCCCAACATTCATCATATTAAATGAAATAAACCAACTTCTGAGGACGGATGTGACGTACGCACACATGCGACCATGCTGCCACTAGCAGACGACGCAAGGAGCGATCGACACCGCGAGATTTCTCCCGCTCGCCGTTAGGTGCACACTCTGTTTGATCTCGCAGCCAATAGGTCCGCACCGAATACTGTGGTATAGGTAAGCCCGCATCGCGCGAGCTCAGATTTCATCAAGAATACCTTCTGCTCCACGGAATCGACACAAACAGAAAGTGGCTGATTGTGGTCACCTCTAGTCCTTCGGTGGCCATGCCGACGCTCAGCTCTGGACGGTCTCGAATGCCCCTCTCAATTATGTGCGCCAGCTGCTGCAAAGCAGGCGCGTAGTCCCGTCGGGCGTAATGGCACAGCGCCACAGCGTACCACAGCTGAGGAGGAGCGTCCGCTTGCGACTGTTTGTTCACAAGGCGAGAGCATGCAATGAAGCGTCCTTGCCGGTACAACACAAATATGCAAATGCAGTAAATTCATTCGTAATTTCATGTTGAAATGATCGCTGTAATTCATACAACATTTTGCTTTGAGTTCTGCTTGATTTCTGGCGATCTCGTAGGGCAAAGAGAACGGTAAGTTTTTATTTAAACATTTCTTACTAGTTACCCTTCACGTCAACTACAACTACACTCACGTAGACTCTGATGCGGATTTTACACCTAGTAATGCCACTGTCAGTGACAGCAAGTGTGGTGAATGGACCCTCAAAAACGCCTACAGTCACCTACGCAGACCACAAGACAGCAGAAAATGGTTCATAATTCCACTGCTTCATCAGGCCACCTAGAATTAAGACTTTTCGGAGAGCTCAAAAATGTTATAACAACATGCACTCTGTCGTTCGAGAGAACACAGTGGCAAATTGCAGGAAAATGAGCTTTTTATACTTAAATGCTTTTAAGCAGCAGATGATGACTGTACACCAACTTTCTTCCAAAAAATTACGGGATTATGTTTTACTTGATTCCCTTCGTTCAATCAAGGATGAAGTTTCTACATATATGAATACTTTTTCTTTGTTAGAAAGGAAAATGTTTCACCTAATGTCAGTAGGAATATAGATTTCGTATTTTCTGGGCTGCAGGCTATGCATACGGGAAAATCAATACATCTCATTATCTACTTGAACTATCATGCGCATAACTAAGTCAGCCCCGCGCAGAACACGTTGTCTAGTTTACTTGCTTGTACACCTCCACATGACCAGAGGAAAGTGAACAGAAATTACCAATTGGTTGGGCTGGGGTTAGTCGCTTTATCTGGAAGCATTTCGCATGTTATTCCAGGATTTCACTCTTAAACTAGAAACATGGCTGTCGTGGGAGAGCGTGGCTGTCGTGGGAGAGCTAGTAGTTTTGAGCTGCAAAACTCGTAACCACGCAGCGAAACTTTCTGCCTGAAACTAACTAAGATGGATTGCCTGACCCCGACTTTCGCATGCGCCTGAAATGTTCACTCACTTCCATTATCTCTCACCTGGAGGGCCTTGTTGAATAGTCTCAAGGCCTCGTCAGGTCTTCCCTCCTTGTAAGCGAGACAGCCGAGATTCACCTGTGTGTCTGCATTGTCATCCTCAGACGGGCCGCCTTGCAAGAGCAGCGCACGCGCCCCAGCTAGGTCATCCTGCAAACTTTCGAGAATTACCTTACCAAGATTCCCACGTAACAATGTCAGCTGAAGATGGGATGCTAGTGTGCTAGATATTGTGCTAGATATTGCTCTCGATTACACAATCGAGAGCAATATCATTCTGTATTTTGGCCACATGCGTGGTCTCTTTAAAGTACAGTCCATAAATACACAATACAGCAGCAACCAGTGGCTTAAGATGAAAGCTACGTTCAATTGAGGCTGTATTGGTGTGCTTCATAAGAAATGTTACATTTCGTTTAAGGTTACAGACTATCGATGATGTGAAAAATCTTGACTCTTTATTTCACTTTTATGATCAGATAAATGAGGCCGCTGCTGGCCGCTTGCGTCATAGAATATTTGGACCGAGCCTCGTGTGTCCTGCTTTGGAATAAAATCACAGATTATAAAATTGAGAAAAGCGCCATCTTATAGCACTACAGATGAACCGAATCGCTTGATGGCAGCAACTTAACAGAAGTTTATGTCTTGGGAAGTTTGTTAAGTTCTGTGAAAATTGCCTGTGCAGCACGGTACAAGCAGTGCACAATCTAGGCGAAAGCTCGAAATCCGGCCTTTATATAGTCGGTTGTGGACTGCAACGTACCCAGTACGTCGTAAATCCCAGTAACTTTCAAAAAAAAAAGAAGGAAATCACTCAATATATCATTATTAGTCATTCTGCAACAAGTGTGGTACACATTTGGCATCTGTTAGGCGCCGTCAGTTGAACTTGGTTTGTGCCATCGCTGATGACGATGAAGAATTATGGCGGAGCCATTCGTAATGCGTCATAATCAATGAATGACCAGGTCACTCCTTACATAATTTGCATTGTGTCAAGCCTAGTTATTGTTTTACTTATCTACGATGTTCTATGACATGTGTTAACACAACTGCTTGCCCAACAACTCACGTGCATAGGGCATTTTTGCGATTGACTTAAAGTCCAGCTCAGAGCTACCTAGACAAAAAGCCAATTCCGTCTATTTTACCGCCTCGTGAGTGCTGTATGCCCTCCCCGCGCTAGGTCGTAAAAATATAGCAACCACAATTATATTGACACCCTCTGCGGGCTTTTTTCGCCGCTGTTGGCTTCATGGTCAGCGAGTGTATGTATATTTTTATTAACCACAAAGACGAATAATTCGAACTATTTTCTCCAGCTTGCAACCGTGCTTTCGAAACTTCGCATAGCACCTTGTCAGACAAGTATGCCACGCAGCCTACGTTCTCCAGCATTTTAACGGCCAGCTAACTATACAAACTCTTTATTGCTGGTTGTAGGCAGCGCTCGGCTGTGCTTCTCAACGTTCACTATATATCACTCGCTAGTTTGCACGAAAAGTGCTCTTTAAATGTCGTCGCCCTTCACGTGTTTCACCAGAGTTGGGAGGCGCACCTTTGACTTACACTTTGACCGACAAGTTGTGGCCACTGGTTCTCGCTCGCTTCTCTCGTGAGAGGGATGTAAATAGGCCTTTTGCTTACACCGAAAAGTTCGTGTTGAACCTATAGACCACTCGAAGGCCAGTTCGCTCGCTGCAACAGCCCAGTTTTCGAACTCAGTGAGCTGCTGCTAGCTTGAAGAGGCTAAGTAGGGTCTAGTTGGCTGTGCAGAGTCAAACATTGCAGCACGCTGCTGAAGCGCAAAGTGTCAAAGCTACTTCCCGCGCGTCCTATAAATATGTATATCTGTGCGTTATTTTTGTGCATCCTTTTTTTTTCTTGCCCAAAAAACCATATCGCATGCGTCAAGGCGTGTCCTCGTTAGATGGCGCTCGTCGTGTGTGTGTTTCCGTGCGTCTTTAGTGATTCAGCAATGTGCAGCTACTTTCGAGCTGCTTGCCACTCTTCGTGTGACATTCCAATTTAACGCTTCCGCATTCAATTCAGCGGTGCTATGACTTTTTATACAACAGCATTTACCCACATGAATGGTATTCAAGAGGAAATATTTATGACCGTGAGAATACCAAAAAAACTCTCATTCCGACTCATCACACACAGTAGGTACTGCGTCCATGTGTACTAAAGAAACAGCACACTAAAAACGCCTACTTGGTGGAAAACAGCGAGCGCCGAGTAGTCGTTTCAGTGCGCCGCTGTGGTGCAGCGATTTTTTTCAATTTAATAATACTGTCAGGGATCTCTGCAGGAGTGGGTAGAAGTGTCTACAAATATTATATATTCGCACAACGTATCAAATGTAGAGAGAGGGCAGTGCACAATAATACAATCAAAAAAGTCATGATACATAATTATAACGACAATATACAAGTTGGTTTGCAGTGCTCTACGATCGACTGCTAACCCTAAGGTCGCGAGTTTAAGCCAAGCCGCGGCAGTCGCATTTCAGTAGAGCGATTGACAAACGCCCACGACTGCGCGATGTCAGTGCATCTTAGAACACCAGATGGAGCACCGAATTGTATCTTGGTTTTGGGACGTTTAACCCCCGATAAAAAACGTGGTTGATCTCCTTTTTAAAACAAGTAATTCGTATAACACGAAAGTGAAACGGGTCCTAGAAGAGTAGTTGAACATTCGGTGTGCATTGTTTCGCCTTGAAAGCGAAGAAAGGAATGCTGCAGTAACACATTTGATATTCAGGCTAATAACGGCAAGCAGCCTGAAACTTGCAGCGCACACCTCAAGCAGTAAGCGCGCACGGAAGGAGCATACATAGGACGAGTGCGGACAAACAAATGTCTAAGCTTCACAATTTAAGCTCACTGCTAAAAAAAAATAAAAGGAAGACGAACGAAAAGAACGTACATGTATACATCTGTAAGAGCGCGAAAGCAAGTCCCAATTCTTATTCTTCGTGTGGGAGCCTTCCTTTCGTAAACGCGGCCGGTGCAGCGAACGAAGTGGCGCTCGGGCTCTCTTTACGCACCCACTCGTAACGCATTTCGCGTTTCGTGGCGCCCGGTGCTATTTGCAGTGGTTACTGTAACTTCAAAGCAAACTTCTGGTGCATGCACAGGAGGTAGAGGGCACCCGAACTCCGAGATAAGCGCGTGCGAGCAAACCACCACGCTACATAACAACCGTACGCAATTTGACCACGCCATGTGAAGGCACGCGTGAATGGTGCGGTGCAGCTACCTTTGTGGGCACGATCGCGTGCCATATCGCTACTAATGACGAAAACGTGCTGAAACGCCGAGCTCTCGGGACCGGCAGCGGTACACGGTGTAGATAAATAGCTCGCTGTTACCATGTCGAACAAGGGTCACTGGGTAGCTTAGTGATTCGCGTTGAGTGGTGAGAAACGCAACGTTGCTGGTTAGACGCCCCACTGCAGAACGTTTCCTTCTCACTTTTTTTTCTTTGCAATCTGCTAGCATTTTAAACATCATATTGCCACAGGCATGGAACGAGGTTGAGCCATGCCAATGCGAGTATGCGCCATGGTGTAAAAAAAAAGAAGAGGACTGTTTGTGGTGCTTGTGCTCTAACGTTTGGTTCGGCTCGACGGCCACACTGTAAGCAAAAACTATCCGAGTTTGGGGTTTTCGCGGCTCATGACCTCTGAAAACTCTCTCGCGTTTAAAATTACTACCTCGTGTAGGAGTAAAAGATGGTACATGACATACATTTATTACCACCTCCCAGGCAAGTAGTAAAAGGATGTCCAAATCCAGTTTTACCACGTAGGGAGTTTTCTATATCACGTGATTTTTAACCTGTGTTTCAGAGTTTATTACCACGTGACTGCAAGGTGCAGCTGCTTCGGTGGCTTTTGCCCCATACCCCCATCGTGACGCTCTCAGTGAATCCTAAAGACACGCGAGGACCACAGATCTTTTTTTTTTTTTTTGGCATCGACGTGCCTCAGGACTGACCTCGAGTCCACGCACTTTCACTGCAACTGGGGGCAGCATAAGCACAACAAGCGAGAACAGCATTCTGTGAACGAAAAAAAAGAAAAAAAGACAGGGGGACCTCAAAAGAAGAAAAAAAAGAAAGAAAACCTGCTGTGGAAAGTTGTCCTGCATATTTTCGCAAATTGTTAGCTTTTGCTCGACCGTGGTGCCTTGGAGACAGGCGGTGCAAGAAGCTCGGTATCTTTGTGTCTGGTTGGGCTGATGGATCTCACGTGTTTCCGACATTGTCAAACGACAGTGCGCTTCCAAGCGCCTCCGAACCTGCACGTCACGGATCTGTCGCTTCCGAGCTGAATCGCGAATATCTGCCAGTGGTAACAAAATCAATTTGGTGTCATCGTCTGTGCTTGCCTACTGGAGAAGGAATAAGCGAAATGCTTCACTCTGTCGTCGGCACCGAGCCGCGGCCGCCAGTGACCAGTGGGAGTGTGTCACCGGGGCAGGTGAAAGAAGCATCACATATATTTTGTTCCACAGTAGGCGATGTCTGCGTGAGTAATGTGCTGCCCGAATTGCCCACCTCATGCACCAACTGTTCTCAAACATGTAGCGCGAAGCCGATACGAGGCAGACGGAACCAACAAGCGGCTGCCGGTGAGCACGAAGAAAACCCGGACGGTGGTCTTTCATTGGAAGTATATGCATACACCGCCCCGTCTCCGTAAGATAGTGGTCACGTGTTCATTTGTGTCTGAAATGACGACGAAATTCGCACAGAATATGTGTTCTGTGATCGCCAGCTGTGTTTCATCGGATAGCCGTGCTCCTCGAAAAGGCCTAGCACACCATCGGTAAGCAGCTTGTATGCAGGCGTGGACCACTCTTCTACGCCCATTGTGATCAATACGGGCTGCTACTGTGTTTGTGCACCGTCGCTCAATGAAAATCATTGAGCTACCATGGTTTGTGCGTACTTAGGTATATTTTATGGACTTGTGCATCAGCAGTGCTAACACGCGTGGGGCCATGAGCCCGGTGTGCCAAGTAATGATTGGATGCTCAAAAAGGTGAGATTGGGTAGATTTATTATAAAAGGTCGGTGTGACATTTAGTTCCCTGCAGCCCACTTTAAGTTTACGCTTGCACCTTCAACCGTTGTTGTTAA